TGAAGACCACAGTGGTGCCTGTGGTCATCGGGGCCCTCGGGGCAGTCACCCCCAAATTGGAGCAGTGGCTACAACAGATCCCAGGAACAACATCAGACATCTCAGTCCAGAAATGTGCAGTTCTAGGCACAGCCAAGATACTGGAGGAACCCTCAAGCTCCCAGGCCTCTGGTAGAGGACCTATATATATATATATATATATAAAATCCCCTTCTCACCCTCCGAGGGTGGTCTCTTTCATCCTCTGAGCTCAGGTCCTCTACCAGAGGCCTGGGAGCTTGAGGGTTCCTCCATGGAACATGATACATATATATAAATAATATCTCAAAGACCATCCAGCTCTTCCTGTCTCAGCATGGCAGCACAACATTTATTTTTAGCTCGTTATGGTAACGATCACCTGTTAGAGCCTTCATTAGTTCTGCTGGTATAAATGATTCAAAGTGTTGTGGAGAAGGGTCCAGATTAGGACCTTCGTTGCTCTCGCACTGCACTCTCCTTTCTTTCATGTGGGAAATTATCCAGATTTGCCTCAATTTTTTTTTATCACAGCCGATAGTGTCACAGTGTGGCATTATCTAAAATTGCACCAGTCAAACGCAATATGATAAACAACTAATCCGGTAAAGTTAGCCTTCCTGTGTTTACTCTGTAGACTCCAGTACAAAATGGACCAAAACACGTCATCAACCCATCGGTGAAAAAATGGCGACCTCCATGGGTGAAAAATACAACAAAAGATGTACATTCTGAAGCAATTATGAGTTTTGGCGTATTACAAGCAGCAATTTTTTTGGTAATATAAAAATTGCAAAATATTTAGTCCAACATGTTCAATTAGTCCTGGATCCTTTTAAAGGGGTTAAATGGACAAACAAGTGTAAACTATTGTTTTGCTGCTTTTTTAAAGATATTTTACATTTTCAGATTACAGTTCTGGTCTAAGGGGGGCTGTGTGAGTTTAGGACCCAAAATTCTCAAAGCTAGACTCAGAAATTTTAACCTTGTTTGTCTGCTGGCAGAAATGAGGGCAAATCACTTTTCCCCCTTGTTGCCTGAAAAAAAGGTAACAATGGTTATTTTTTCAGTTTTATAATAAGCTAACTTGGATGGATTCACTGACCTGGTTTGGATTCAGGATATTCATTAGTCCTTCCTTTAGTCTAAAGGTGGAAGCAGGTCAGTTGGTGCCTTAAACCCTATATTGGATGCACAATGCTAAAGGGCACAGAGACGGGGCAGATTGCTGGACTCCACCTTTGGACAGTTTTATCGGTGTTGAACAGAAGAGGTTCAATAAGGGACTTTTTTTATGCACATATGATATTGGTGATGTGTGTTGTCTGCATGTGAGCAGGACCAGATTTTACCACTGGTGTTAGAGAGCTGGTCTCCTGCAGATATAGGAAACATTCTGGCTAAGTTGCAGACCACTGGCATGTGGTATAGTTATCAATAGTCTGTTCAGAAGCCTACAGCCATCACACTAGCCCACAATCTGGGATTTTCCACTGTGATGTGAAAAATAATCTCTAAGTAACTACAGAGGGGTTTGATTGTGGGGAAGTGCTGTTAACACTTCATAGAGCTCTGACTGAAATGACTAACATGATACATCTTTGTGTTTTATTTTGCAGCTCTGGCCTGTGTGATTGTTGGCATGGCAACTGTTGTGACAACCATCACTGGCCTCTCTACTTCTGCCATAGCCACCAATGGATTTGTTCGAGGAGGTATTTGTCTTGTCCCAGTCTGCCTCTAGATTAACCTGGATTTGTAACACCCATTTAAATTGGTTAAAATTGTTAATATAAAGGAATTTGAAAGTGAGTTGAGTCTATATTGATTCTTTATTCGGAGTGGTAAATGTGGTTTGGTGCTGGGTGGAATGGCAGGACTTCGTAAATCTGGAGAGAAACTCCCATCTGTTTGCTCCCTGATTAGTTGGTTGGTTCATATTGGTTCAATGGCCCCATGGGATTACCCCCTATTTAAAATTTTTACTGGGGGTACCTGCATGGCGTCCTTATGCTCAGTGCAGAGTGGGTTTGTACCATGCTTCTTGGAACTTCATGTACAATTGGAACCTGGTACAGGAGATATATATATATAAAATATGACACGACACAGAGATGCAGACATACTTATAAAGTGGTGTTGCGGTACCCATCAGAAACCCAGTAAACCAGTTTACTATGCAGTCTCCAACGAGGCCTCTTTGTGATGTTAAGCTCTTTTAGGTCTTCTAAAAGGCAGGCTAAGGCAGGCAGCTGATGTACAGTATCTGTTCCAGTTTGGATCCTGGAACTGAAATAGCTCTGAGTTCCTCACGTGACTTTTCTTTTCTGTTTGTGTGGTCATGGCGTTCTCTCTAGTGGGCTGGGTGCTGATGCAATAGCGAAAGTGTTTGACGATCGCTTTCACATCATAGACTGGGACTAGTGGGAGCTTGTAAACCTGAGTTTCCCACAGAGCATAGCAAGTTTGGACCCAGACTCAGTCTGACCTTGATCCACATTAGGTAGAATACATTTTTCGATGCCATGTGATTGTGATCATTGATCATCTCTCTGATTTTGATCCATATTATGATGTAGAACAGTATTGCAGCATGAAACCACAAACAAATAGTTATGAGTAGACCTGTCGCAATAAGCAGTCAGTTATTTGCATAATAAGTTAAAATGAGCTCATTTGCATGATTTCTCTCTCTTTCTTCCAAAACTGGATGACTTCAGTCTTCAGTCTCACCATGTTTTGATCTCCATGCAGGAGGAGCATATTACTTGATTTCGAGGAGTTTGGGTCCAGAGTTTGGAGGCTCTATTGGCCTGATCTTTGCTTTTGCCAATGCAGTGGCTGTGGCCATGTATGTAGTCGGCTTTGCTGAAACTGTTGTGGAACTTCTCAAAGTAAGTCTTTTGATTTCCTATGTTGCTCATTGTAAAGATTTTTTTTGTGATGACTTATTTAGCAGATTCAGTTTTAATGTGAGTCACCTACTGATCATTGCATTTTTGATTAACATCTCCCTGAAATGTCTGTCAGGGTGTGGATGCGCTGATGACTGATGACATCAATGACATCCGAATCATTGGCACCATTACAGTAATTGTTCTGTTGGGTATCTCTGTGGCAGGAATGGAATGGGAGGCTAAGGTATACCTGTCAGCTGACACCAACAGTATAGAAACACAAAGTTTCTGGAAAACTTTCATATCTCTCTGTAACCCTCTGATTTCCATAGAATTCAAGAAATAACAATTCAGTCATTTGTTTTCTTTAGGCCCAGATCTTCCTGCTTGTTGTCCTTATCACAGCTATTGTGAACTACTTTATCGGATCCTTCATTTCTGTGGAATTAAAGAAACCTTCAGGCTTCCTTGGATATGATGGTATGATCAGCCTGTGATTCTAAGTTCTTTTTTGTTCTTTTTAACCAAACTTTAATTTTTCATATTCCAGATATTTACAGTGGTTAATAGCAGCAATTACAACTGCTCCTTGCACTTGTTTTTTAATTTCAGCTGAAATCATGTGGGAGAACATGGGACCAGACTTTCGAGATGAGACGTTCTTTTCTGTCTTTGCCATCTTCTTCCCCGCAGCCACTGGGATTCTGGCTGGTGCTAACATTTCTGGAGACCTTGCTGTAAGTCAGCCGGTTAACACTTTAAAAGTGCATTTCAGAGTGCTTTACATGATAAAAACACAAAAATACAAAGGTATAAAAGACATCACAACAATTGAGAAAACATCAAACGTCAAATGTCATTAATACACATCAAATATGTTAGTCAGTGTTTCATTTATTATGATTCAAAAGCAACTCTTAACAAGTGGCTTTTAGTCTTTATTTAAAGGAACTCGGTATTCCGGCTGTTTCGTTGTTTTCTGGAAGTTTATTCTGTATTTGTGGTGCGTAGAAGCTGAATGCTGCTTCTTCATGTTTGGTTCTGACTCTGATGAAGAGCAGAACCAGAAGACCTAAGAGGTATGGAAGGTTGATCCAACACAAGCAGATTTTTAATGTACTGTGGTGCTAAGCTGTTCAGTGATTTATAAACTAACACTATTTTAAAGTCTATTCTTGTACTTTGGAACTGGGCGATATGCTCTAACTTCCTTGTTTTAGTGAGAACCCCAGCAGCAGTATTTTGAATCAGCTGCAGCTGGAGGATTGATTTTTATTTTAAATTTTTTAGCCAGACCTGTGAAGACACTGTTGCAGTAATCAATGTGACTAAAGGTAGATGCACTTAAGGTACACATAGGTGTCAAATGTCAGAACCCTACAACTGGGGGTGCACCGATTTATTGGCCAACAAATTTATCTGCGGTGATTTCCTTAAGTTTGGGAAATTGGTGGTCGGCTGATACTTGCACGTGAATCCAATCTTATCTATCTCAACAAAGGTTTAAAAATCAACCAATGTCTGCACATTTGCAGTAAACAGTAGTCACTACACTGTTGATAATTTTCTTGATATGCTGAGCAACATTTCAGACAAAAAACATTGGTATCGACCAAAATTGGAATTGCCACTATCAGGTTTTTTAATGACTGGTTGCCAGTGATTGGCCAAATAACTGCAATCGCTACCTACAACCTTCTTGTTGATCCAACAAGAAGGTTGGTGGATCAACCTTCAGAGTTTTATTTCAACTTTATTTTTAATCTCAGTCTAAAATAATTGTGTAATTAGCTATAAAACCTAATCATTAAAATTATTTAATCAAATTCCACTTTGCAGTTTGTTTTTTTTTGGTGCTGTTTGGAATGAGTTTCTAAACAAAATGAGCAATTGTTTAAACGATAATTTCAATATTGTTTGTCATCCATGAGCAAACAGAGCTATTTCTGTTATAGCTGAGTCAATATTTGTAGGTTTTGTTGCATGTGTTTGTTGCAGGACCCACAGATGGCAATCCCCAAAGGAACACTACTTGCCATATTGATTACAGGCATTGTCTACTTGGGGGTCGCAGTTTCAACAGGTACACTCTGCTCTCCTGTTGGCAGTTTTCACCCCCTTTGTTTTGAGGATGCATCTTATGTGTGTTCTGCTTTTCTGACTTTAGGGTCCTGCATTGTGAGAGATGCCAGTGGAAATCTGAATGACACAATCGGCACACAGTTCAGTGCAAACTGCACTGGTGCTTCCTGCAAGTTTGGCTTTGATTTCTCTAGCTGCAAGAGCCAAAAAAACTGCCGCTATGGACTCCATTATGACTTCCAGGTATGAACCAGCATCAATAAAAGAACAATTTGTTAATGTTTTTTATTATGCTGAGAATTGGGTTAAACTCCAACCAAGCAATTCTCAAAGCACTATAATGTTTTCATTCTGTGTAAAAGGCCCAAATCAGAGAGACCTTAATACATACAGATACAAACAATGCTACCAAGTTGAACTTCCTGCTCTTTGTTCATGTGTGCTGGCAGGCCTATCCTCCTCCCTACTTGTTCAACTGGCCCACAGAACACTAACACTTCACAACAAACCCACACACATGCTCTGCTTGGCTATATTATGTAAATTACTTCATATCCATTGGGTGCAACACTTGTGATTGAGGACCAATCACAAGTGGTCCTCAATCCACTTATATTCCACTTGGGAGATATATCTTTATATCTCCCAAGATATAAAGCATCCCAAGATGCTTTATATCTTGGGAGAGATAAAGCATTAATTAAAATGGCAAATATATCGGATTATAAAATTACTACATATGGTCTATGGAAATAAGTAACACCGAAAAAAGGTTTTGAGGTTTTGTCATGCAAACTCCCTCAACCAACCCAGATTTTCCCTTGAATCTGGTTTCAGAATGAATGCACACAAAGTCACACTTGGCACATACAAATAGCTACATGAATTTGCCATGTATTTCCTAGATGGAAACATAAGAAAGTTGACTTTGTTTCTGTGTTGCTTCAGGTGATGAGCTTGGTTTCAGGTTTTTCTCCCATCATCTCAGCTGGAATCTTCTCTGCCACTCTGTCCTCTGCTCTGGCCTCTTTAGTGAGCGCGCCTAAAGTATTCCAAGTAAGAGTCAACCCATGCACCGGCATAACTAATACATTATGCTACTGCCAAACTGTTTATCCCTGTGTACGTATTAGTTCTATGTTCTTTAAGATATGAAATGACATAGCTTTTTTTTTTTTTTTGCAGGCTTTATGTAAAGACAACATCTACCCTTATATTGGAATATTTGCCAAAGGATACGGGAAGAACAATGAGCCTCTTCGAGGCTACATCTTGACTTTCGGCATCGCTCTGGCTTTCATCCTAATCGGTACGCCACTCTCTTTGCTTACTTTTGCATTTTTCACACTAACTTGTACAGCTAAAGTTTATGGTAACCATATCTGAATAACAATAGCTTAAAAGCATAAAAAGCTCATCAGGGGATTTTATACTTTCAAACTGTTATCATATCTCACTGGCTTCTGAAATAGTTTTAAATTTATTATGTTCATATCTTAAATTGCTAAAAAAATATATCTAGGAGTTGCATTTAATCCACATTAGGTTTTGATTAACAAAGCCTATGTGGCTTTAATTTTAATAACAATAGTTCCAAAATATGACACATTTTTTTGTGTCATCAGCCTGGAATGCTATAATGCTCTTTCACCAGTCTGCACAGATGGTCGGTCTCTCGTCTGCGAGCTGTTCAGCACACAGCAGCCAGACTTCTCACCAGATCCAGTAAAAGTATTGGCATCACCCGGTGCACTGTCCTGCATCCTAGTGGATTTTAGAATTTGGCTTAAAAGTTGTTGGCCAAGTTCTTGATTATTTGTGTCAGCTTTTAACTAACACTGCTGCTCGTAGCTCCCAAACCTAAAATCTTCCGTTATATTTAGTTGGACACTCGGGGGGACCATCTGTGCAGGTCTGTTTTGCTGACTCTGAAGATGTTTTTAAAAAGTGTTTTCCCAGACTTGTTGCTTCTTAGGCTTGTTTTGACAACTTAACTGTGATTTATGTTGTACAGTGCTTTATGACTTTCCCCTCTAAAAAGAGGTTTTAACTTTTCTCTGGTATCCATTTTGTTTGAAAGTGTAGTATTTTTAATAACCCATCATACTGTTGAGTAAGACAGTTGGAGAGGAAGTGGAAATAATCCTTTTTATAAGTTTCTGTTTCTTCTGTTTCCAGCTGAGTTAAACACAATTGCGCCAATTATCTCCAACTTTTTCCTGGCATCCTACGCCTTGATCAATTTCTCTGTGTTCCACGCATCTCTGGCCAACTCTCCGGGTAAGATCAAAGTGCAAAAAGTGAAAACCAGCATAAAAACATGTTAAGCTAAGAATGTTAAACAATGTTGGAGGTTTTCTACACGTAATTTAATTACATTGAATTAGTGATTTTAAATTTGAAGTTAAATTGTACTAAAATGTAAATGTGATGAAACATTATCAAGAATTAAAGCGAGTGACTAGAGTATCAACTGATCCTAAGCAGAAGCATGTATTCCTACTGTTGACTCGCAGCCTATAAGGACTGGTGAGGATGATGACCATATTGTGGAGTTTTTCCAAAGATCTTAGCATGGTCTAATAGGGATGCTCCGTTCAGGTTTTTTGCTTCTGATTCCGATCATCCACGAGGCCGATCTCTGCCGATCACCGATCTTAAGCAGACATTCCGTGTGAGAGTTCAGTGCCAAATGGAGGTTGAGCGGTGCTACGTCTGTGGAATATTACTACCAGTAGCGATTAGGGCTGTATAATTATATCGATTCTACGATATTTATCGATTTATTTATTTTTTCCCTCCTTGGAAGATATTGATTTTTCATACGCGAGTACTGATACGTTAAACCATGCGTCTTTTTAACATGTCTGATTTGTGACGGCGCAGCAGCAAGACTCCGCCTCCCCCAGTTTCACTTCCAACTTGTGCTTAAAGTGCACATTATAAACTACACACCAGTTTTTAAATTGTGTTAATAGACCAAGTAAAACCAGAGTTGTGCTAAATTAAGTAAACCGTATTTTTCCAAATGTCAGAGAAATGTCAACAACCGGCTTTTCCAGTTATGTGACGGGGAATGAGCTTCCAAACGTAAAAAACGAAATGCAACATTAGATTCCTTTGTTTTTGGAAATCTCAAATCTTCAATAAATAACGATGGGCTGTGTTTTGTTGCTAAGAAACGAAGTAAAGTTGCGCAAGTAACTGTGAAAGAGAAGCAGAATGATGTAGCGGCGCAAATGGAGTAGCGACAAATACAGTGAGATCATGAAATTAATGCATAGTTTGGATATTGGAGCGACTGGTGGCATCCACTTCGTAATTTGTTTTTAGCTTAGTGGTTTCTGTTCTGTATATAAAGGATTACCTGAAGAATCAATGTACAGCAGGTAGCGGCGCTCTGTTTTGAGCTGGAAGATGAAGAGGGGAAACCTGCAGCCGGAATCCGCGGTGCTGTGAGGATTGCCATGATGACGATGGCAGATCGATCATTCTTATTAGCAACTGACGAACAGTATCAGAGACTGAGAGTACGATGAGATCCTGGTAGTCTGAGAGGCAGCTACTCAGAGATCCAAGCAGGGGAATGGCGGCGCTGCGCAGCTGCAAGGAGTCGATCACTATGGGGTGAGGCAGAGCCACTCCCCCAGCAGCTAGTAGTAAACAGCTTATAGCCACGGCTAACTCTGGGAGTCAAGGTAGAAAAGCCTTATCCCCATAGTACAAAATACCTTTTTTCACCCCTCCACCTCCTCTCCAACACACAATTATAAAATTTTTTGGCAACTTATTTTGACCTATGATGTTTTGTCAAAAATTGCATACAAACAAATGAGGAATTGCCTTCATTTTCATGCTGATGTTATAAAATTGTGTTGCTTGCAATATTTTTTACATCAGTTTAATAAATGTACAGTATATATTGTCATTCTAAATTTTAAAAACCATTTGTTATGAATATTTGAGCGTTTCATAATGGAAAAAAAAATTACAATTTTTCCAAATCGGGTTTTGTTTTTCTGTGACTCAAAGTCCAAAATGCAGCCAAAGTACGTCCAAAAGAAAAACATAAATACAATTATTTGCATATTGAGAGTCTACAGAGGCTGATAATCTCCCCACTCAGCTCCCGGATCACTGTTGAAACTTTGTGTTTTATGTCAAATCCACATGAATTAAATGACAGAAACAAAATTTCTCACTGCATCTTTGTCCAGCTGTAGATTCTAAGTCTTTGTCCAATCAGAGTCAGGTATTGCGTAGTTGTTTTTAATCAGTTTTCAGCTAATTAAGTCCAAGTCTATGGAACTCAAAATGTCACCAAAATCACTCTGTCTCTCTAAAATCTTTCAGAAAATTGTAAAAGTGCATTGAATCGTATTGAATTGTATCATTTGCCAAATATCGCGATATATGTCAA